TTTTGTAAAATGGATGTAAAATTAGAGCAATTAGCTGGGGTATGAACATCTATTCAAGCAATTAATTGCTGCTTAAGGAAGTTGGGATCTTAGTGGCCATATGGTTTAATTCTCTGACTTTGAAGAGTCTGTCACTGCTGTGAGTTTGAATCCCAACAGTGACTTTAGATTTTTTCATGTGAGGAAGCTATCTAGCTAATTTACTTATAGAAGTTTGGTGTCTCTATTCTGATATGTCTATAATAATGTACTGAGGGTTCACTGATATCTTCTTCCATTAGTATAGCTGAAAAGTCGTTATATGACCTTAATAGGGTCCTGTGACTGAAAGTATAAGCAATATGTCAAAGGACAGAGCAATACATAGGTGAGCAATTTAGGCAAGTTTAGCTGTCTTGTTATTTGACCATGTTTTTAGTTTGATATTTGTTTATTTTAATCAGGGTAATTTTTTGGTATTTCTCTTACAATGTATTTCATGTGCATGTTAATTTATAAGCATTTCAGACTAATTTAACAATATAGATACAAGTGTGTTGCATTTTTCACATTTGAAAATCGAAAATAATTTTTAAAAGCTTGTTCACCATTTGAGTGCTTGGGTCAATGATAATAAGCAATTTGTCTGTATAGAAAGAAATTGTTATTGATTTTTTTCTTCATATTTTATTTTCATGATTAATCATGCCAAGATTACTGCTTTAGAATTGGATATACAAAAGTTTTTATGTACCTGAATATTAAGGAACTTTTTCTTATATCCTTCAGAAAGTTCTGTAAGTTAATTGTATTACTGTAATATTCATCTAGTACAATATTTTTTAATGTTGATTATATACCTGAAAGGGCTCATAATTGGAAATAAAATGTATTCTGATCTATACTAAATTTAAATGAAATCACCTGATTTGAAATGTATTAGATATTTAATTTTTATATCAGCATATTTTTCATGTGAAACTGTCCATCACCTATCTATTTAATGCACAAAAAAAAAGCCATTTGTACATGTAAATGAACTATTTTTAGATTTTTACTTGATATTTTATTTAGTATTATGCACCAGATACATGTGTATTATTTTGTTGTAGTTCTCCTGTATCTCCACTTGTAAGTTTTGTTATACCCTGTAATATCTGAGTATTACTGAGTATGAGTGACATACTGGTAATAGGGTAACTGCCTCTGTGATTTTGTTGTTTAATACTTATATAAACTCTCGACCCTTTACCATTATAAAGCCAGGACAGCTGGTATTTCTTTCAAGTCTTAGTCTAACAAGGGTCCATCCTGGTGGCATTACAATTTTACAGTTTCCTTTTCATATCCTTAAGATTGTTGTTACTCTATTTTAGTCATGTTTAAATATATTTCTTATACTGCGTTTTATTTACCATGCAATAAACAGCTTACACATAGTTCAGTGATTTTCTTTTTATATTATCACCGATTTGTAACCCCACTAAAACTTAAGAAAAAGAACCCCGGAAACAATCAATATTTTTAATCATCCCAGTAAGAAAAGAATTTGGGCTATGCTGCTTTCATTTTAAAGCAGCCACTTCTCGATTAGCATAGGTCAGTCAATCTGGCGCCAACAGCAGCATAGCTTAGATTTTCAATAAACTTTGTCACAATGATCTAATAAGGGGTCCCTCAGATGAGATGGAATATTGGCCATCTTCATAAAAAAAAACATTAAGAAAAACCTTACTTAACTAAGAGATAATGGACAGATAAAAATCATTGGATGTTGGCGAACAGACAGAGGAAAGATTCAACAAGAGCCACCGCCGGGCGGGACAATACCAGAGACATAGATAATGTTATATATGTCTCTGACAATACTCAACTTTTTAATATGCCCGAAAGAATATCGGGCATATTATGTTATACCCCCTGGCGTCCGTCCGTCCGTCCGCACTACCAAATAGGGATAGGGGGCCATCTAACTGTAAAGAGAACAATAGAGTTCATTCCGTAACAATAGAATAAGGGGCCATTGGCTCTCTATTAAACAATAGAAAATAACAAAAGAAATGGCCCCTTATTCCATTTCAGCCGTCCGTCCGTCTGTCCGTCCGTCTGTTAGCAATTTTGTTTCCGGAGCATAACTCAAGTTCCATTTGGCCCACAACATTCAAACTTCATAGGATGATTGTCCATATTGAGTAGAAGACCCCTATTGATTTTGGGGTCACAAGGTCAAAGGTCAAGGTCACTATGACCCTAAAACTGAAAACAGTTTCCGGAGCATAACTCAAGTTCCATTTGGCCCACAGTGTTCAAACTTCATAAGATGATTGTCCATATTGAGTAGAAGACCCCTATTGATTTTGGGGTCACAAGGTCAAAGGTCAAGGTCACTATGACCTTAAAACTGAAAACAGTTTCTGGAGCATCACTTAAGTTCCATTTGGCCGACAGTGTTCAAACTTCATAGGATGATTGTCCATATTGGGTAGAAGACCCCTATTGATTTTGGGGTCACAAGGTCAAAGGTCAAGGTCACTATGACCTTAAAACTGAAAACAGTTTCCGGAACGTAACTTAAGTTCTATTGGCCGACAGTGTTCAAACTTCATAGGATGATTGTCCATATTGGGTAGGAGACCCCTATTGATTTTGGGGTCACAAGGTCAAAGGTCAAGGTCACTATTACTTTAAAACTGAAAACAGTTTCCGGAGCATCACTTAAGTTTCGTTTGGCCGACAGTGTTCAAACTTCATAGGATGATTGTCCATATTGGGTAGAAGACCCCTATTGATTTTGGGGTCACAAGGTCAAAGGTCAAGGTCACTATGACCTTAAAACTGAAAACAGTTTCCGGAGCATATCTTAAGTCCAAAATTGGCCGACAGTGTTCAAACTTCATAGGATGATTGTCCATTTTAGGTAGAAGACCCCTATTGATTTTGGGGTCACAAGGTTAAAGGTCAAGGTCACTATGACCTTAAAACTGAAAACAGTTTCCGGAGCATAACTTAAGTTCCATTTGGCTGACAGTGTTCAAACTTCATAGGATGATTGTCCATATTGGGTAGGAGACCCTTATTGATTTTGGGGTCACAAGGTCAAAGGTCAAGGTCACTTTTACTTTAAAACTGAAAAAAGTTTCCAGAACATAACTTACTTTCTATTTGGCCCATAGTGTTGAAACTTCATAGGATGATTGTCCAAATTGGGTAGAAGACCCCTATTGATTTTGGGGTCACACGGTCAAAGTTCAAGGTAGCTATTACTTCAAAACTAAAAACAGTTTCCAGAGCATAACTGAAGTTCCATTTGGCCCTAAATATTCAAACTTTATAGGAGGATTGCTATTTGAAGGAGGTAATACTTTATTTAATTTATGTAATGTCTTACAAATGCTTCATCCTTAGTAAAGAAAAAAAACACTTTTGGGCATATAATGCTCCGCCTAGCGGTGCTCTTGTTTTACTTTTTCTAAAAGCGAACAAACAAATATTTAAAAAAGAATAAAAAAATCAGTTTTTTCTTCTTTTTTTTTTGCACACCTTGAGCACTTTGTGATCACATTTTGTCCGGCATCCATTGGAACAACTTCACAGAAACCACTTGGCCAAATTTGATGAAATTTCCCTGTTGTGAAGCTATATTTAAATCATTCAAATGGTTCTGCTCCATTGAACATCTGCATCATTAGGGCTACAAATAGGATTTTAAAATAAAAATCTTCTCTGATCTTGCCCCAGTGGGTCATTGATCCCCCTAATATGTATGTAGTTAAAACTTTAAAAAAAATCATCTCCATTTGAAAGTGCATGGCCTAGAGCTTAGATATTCTGTGTATAGAATCATCTCAGGAATCTCAGGAAAAGTTGTACAAATTATAGCCCTGGGGTCAAAACTGGCCTCGCCCCAAGGGATCATTGATTTATCTTATATGTATATAGTAAAAACTTAAAAATCTTCTCCTATTGAAAGTGCAAGCATAGAGCTTAGATAAGTTGTTTTAAGAAATCATCTCTGAATTGACAAAGGCTAGATGTTAGATATTTGGCATGAAACATTGTGTAGTGGATTTCTACCAAGACTGTTCAAATTATAGTGCTTGGGTCAAAATTGGCCCCAACCCAGGGGTCATTGAATGTACAGGTTAGCCTCACTCTTTACTGTTGGCATAGACAAAAATTACATCTACTAACACTAATAGAGTTAACCATTTAACTGCTGAAATTCTAAAATGGACTTTTCCAACTTAAATTTTTGGAACTGTTCATTATCAATTTTATGAATATCTAGATAAAAATCTTAAGTAGGTCTACAAACAGAATTTAGTGTGGTCAAACTGCACCAATGTGCAAGGCTGCCCTGAAGATATACTGGTATCCAAAGTTTATTACTTTTGTTTCAGCAGATTCAGGTTTAACTTCATTATCTGGCTTGTCTACTTGACTACGTTGGAGGTCTTTCAGTTACCATCATATTAGGATTGACAGTTATAAAAAGAATCGTTAAGTTAAACTTAAAAACTCTGCTTCAGAACTGCAAGGCTTACACCTTCGATACTTGGCATGAAACATTATAGGGTGAACCTGTGCCAAGTATATTTAACCAATTGGTCCCATCCCTAATGTACAGTTTCATGTAGAGGTCTTGTAATAAAAACTTCTGTGGAACAATTAAGTTGCCAAACACTTTGGTATTTTGCATGAAACATTCTTAAGATGACCTTTAACAAATTTGATTATAGCAATTTTAACCCCACTTCAGAGTCACATTGGCCAAGCCCTTGGGGCTATAAGTTCAACCTGTTACAAACTTTGTTGATATTTAAGTTATAACGCCCATATGTGGATGTCTGATACATCTGAACATTGTTTATCATTTGACATGCTGATAGTTGACCTTGAACCTAACTTGACCTTAACCATCAATGTCAGAATATCTTTAAACCTTCATGACATCATCATAGTGTAAGCTATTGTTTATTTTGTACCTTAAACTTTATCAAACTGAATGAGGATGTGGCCTTTTTATCAATAATTTATCTGACAGAGAAATAAATTTTGTTATAAAATGTACATAGCAAGTTGAAATAAGCATTATTTATAAAACAGAAAAATAAGGTTTATAATATGAGCTGTTTAGGAAACATTTGAAAAGTAAAGACTTGGACAGAATATGTGGCAGTAAATTATCTGTTTATAATTGATTGTGATAGAAAACAAGGACAGTGTATGACTCTATCTTTTTGTATGGTACATATCAACTAACTAACTTTGTTTGAGCAAGTTAATCCACAAGATGGCTAACGGTGAGCAGATCAATACGGATATTCTTTCTGATGAAGTGTTTGATGTACTATGTACAATCTGCAAAAGTAAAAGCAAAAACACAGAAGGTGTAAAATTCTGTGTGGATTGCCAAGATTATTTCTGTGTTATATGTGTCCAAGTTCACAGTCAAGTTCCTGTGTTAGCTGGTCACAAGATGTTTGATAAATCTTTAGTTACACCAGGAATCATCAAAGGTCACCCAATAGCACCAGAAGTGCCTGTATGTGCTGGTAACAAGGTATTGGATAAATCTCAGGTTAAGTCAGGAACCAGTAAAGGTCTGCCGAGGGCACCAGAAGAGAGATGTGACAGACACAGTCATAAACACATTGATATGTACTGTCAGAACCATGATAATGTTGGCTGTTCTACATGTATGGCAGTTGATCACAGGTAAATTTTAACAATCGAGCAGTCAATTTATGGAGAGTTTTGTAAGTTAAAAAAAATAAAAGTTATGTTAAAGAAAACTACAGCTGTCACTAAAAGGGATTCATACCCCACCTGCCATTACAAGAAAAATAAGTTGCCTGAAACTAAATTTAGTTTATGTTTCATATGTATACTGAAAATAGCTATTATTCTTTGCTTTGTAATAGAGAATCATCTGGATACCAAAAGCAATCAAAAGTATGGTCTCCACATAAGCTTTGCTTGCTATTTACTATGTTTCATTACAATATCTTATTCCTAACTCTAGAAATTGACAAGAAACCATTAATTTTTTCTATTTTCAATAACATCGACCTTGACCCTAGGGGTCCGAAAGCAATCCTAAACAAAGCCACTAAATAGCTTGCTAGACACTAAGTTTGATAACGGTATCTCATTAAATTTTCTAATCTAGTTGATATCAGTAAACCATTTTTATATTTTAATAAGTGACCTTGACCCTAGGAGGCCCAAAAGCAATCCCAAGCTAGGTCTCCACAAAAGCTTGCTATTTGTTTGAGCACAATATCTTATACCTCATTCGATTTATCGTTTAAAAGTAGTCCAAAGTGAGGTATCCATATAAGCTTGATATATATACCAAGTTTGATTACAATATCTTATTCATAACTCTAGTTAACTAATCATCATGAGACTACACAATCAACCAACAATAAAATATATACCCCCTTAAACTTTGTTTGTTGGGGGAAAATAAAATTACTCCAATCTGTTGTATTTATACATGGACATTCTAAATTTGTTTTCAGGTCATGCCTGGATATCGTCTACATTCCAGAATTTATCCAAAATAACACTTACCAATCAGCCTCAATAGAAATTCAAACAAAACTAAAGGAAATATCCAAGACCCTTGCAGAACAAGTTACCAACTTCAAACAAGATAAACAAAGGCTGCTGAAAAGAAAGGTCGAATTACTGGCTGATATCAGAAAATTTCGTCAAGAAATTAATGACCAACTTGACAAGTTGGAGAAAAATTCTATAAATGAGATAGAAGATATGGTTAAACTCCTTGAAGACAAGATTGAAGACAATCTCAAAAAGCTACAAGATAATTCGTCCAGGGTTACCTCTGCTTATGATAAATTAGCATCTTCAAACACAAATCAAGCTGAAGTGTTTGTTTTTGTGAAGATTGGGGAAGATGCTGCAAATGTTGCTGACAAATGTTTAGAAGATACGAAAAGAAAACATACTGGAGAAGACATAGTGTTTCAACCTGATAAAACAATTCTTACATTGCTACAACCATATAAAGCGATTGGCACACCAACAGAGATAGATACAAAGACTGCTGGCACTTTATTTCAGATTAAAGGGGAACAATCATGCTGTGTTACACCTGGGAAATACAGTTCCTTGGAAAGTGCATGCTGTCTGAAGGACGGCACAATTATTCTAGCTGATGCATACAATAAGAAGCTAAACCGGTTCCACAGTAACAACTATACCGTCACAGACTACTGCCTTCCTGGAGGACCCAGGCAAGTCTGTTCAATAAATACAACACAAGTAGCAGTAACTTTACCGTCACAGAAAGAAGTTCATTTCATTTCTGTTGAAGGACAAATGAGTTCAACAAACAAGATTAACACTGGTTTTGAATGTTATGGTCTTGCATACACCAACGATAATTTATATGTATCAGATTGTGATGCAGAAGTATGTATCTATACATTGTCTGGAAGGAGGCTGAAACAGCTCAGAATAAATCAATCACTATTCTCAGGCATATTAAATATATTTTCTTCCATACGAGGTCTAGCTGTCAGTAAAGACGCTACAAGGATGTATGTTGCTGATGCCCGTCGTGGATTGATAGTGTTGGACAACAATGAGAATGTTATTTCAACATTCAGTTGTAAAAGATTAGAGCAACCGGAATATTGTTATGTCACTGAAGCAGGTGGTGTCCTGGTATCTGGATATTACTCCAATAATGTTTTACAGTTTACATGTGATGGTGAACTGATAGGAGAGGTTATAAAAGCTGATAGTGGAAAAGGGAAAATTGCTTCAGTTTGTTGTAACCAACAAATGTCTAAAATGTATGTAAGCAGATTTGGAAAAAACAACATTGAAGTGTATGATATCTGATCAGTAATAAATGACTACAAACCACCTTCTGTAAAAATGTAATTGAAAGTACATGTATATTCTAATTCAGAACCTACAAGCATGAAATGTGAAAAAGAACAAGACTGTGTTTATGATACACAATGTTGCCACATTGTATTATAATAAATCACTAACAATAGATGGACCAAAAGTAGTTCATCATGTGATTGTACATAATTGAGCCGCGTCACGACAAAACCAACATAGTGCGTTTGCGACCAGCATGGAACCAGACCAGCCTGCCCATCTGCGCAGTCTGATCAGGATCCATGCTGTTCGCTTACAAACCCTATTACAAGTAGAGAAACTGATAGAGAACAGCATGGATCCTGATCAGACTGCGCGGATGCGCAGGCTGGTCTGGATCCATGCTGGTCGCAAACCCATTATGTTGGTTTTGTCGTGACACGGCTCATATTATGAATAAATTATCTTACAATATTGAATCAATGTCCAATGAAACTGTAGGTAAATATTTCGCCAATGTGAAACAAAACATAATTGTTACATATATCTCGATAAATTTATCATAGGTTAAAGTTAAACATCTAGTTTAAGTATCACTATCAGCCTTTAAGGTTGAAGAATTGTAAGTAAGTAAGGTAAGTAAGGTAAAGTAAGGTAAAGTAAGGTAAAGTAAGGTAAAGTAAAGTAAAGTAAAGTAAGTATTTATACTAACATAGTAAGTAAAGTAAAGTTAAAGTAAAGTTAAAGTAAAGTAAAATTAAAGTAAAGTTTAAGTAAAGTAAAGGCTTTATTTATCGAGGCTACACATTTGGTTTCCCAATCTTCCATGTGGGCCTCTATGAAAAACAAAAACAAAATTTGCAATAAATACAACTACAACACTACAATAATACGGCAACAACAATGTGGTACAATTTACAAACAAGAAATACATGGTAATATTATAGCAAATACTTGTATTCAGTTTATGTGCAGATTATCCATACATGTATTCTATACTATTTATAATTATTGTAAGATCATTTTCTTCTTTCAAAGTCTTTTCATTTTATTTTTTGCATAGAAATAACCTACATTGCATTTCCCAGCCCAATTGCATGTTCTGTTTATTAAGCAGAATTGTCATTTTTAGTGTGCAAAATGACCAAAAAATTAAAGGTGTTCTCAAACTAGGCTAAAAATTGTGCAAAAACAATTGCTTTTCAATTCTTTTCATTATTTTTTTCATTTTTTTACCATTTTAAAGTGAGTCACTTGATCTATGCAGGAATTACAAAATTTATGTTTTTTTTTTTTTTTTTTACCTCATTTAATAATTCTTCAGGGTTTGCTTAATGTTAAAAACTATATGCAGAATATGTTTTAATTCTTTATTTATCTCCTGCAATCTTTTTTTTTGAAAGCTTAAATTATATAAATTACTCTTAAACTTATATGAAGTGTATGTAATAATTATGTGACTTATCATCACTTGTATATATTTTGTGTATTATGTATTATTTTTATCTAATATTTGATTCCACATAACCTATGTAATAGAATTGGTCTGTTGTTGCATATATTTTCTAGTGATACAAGCTATATTTTTGATGTCTCTGGATGGAAAATTGTTGTTTATATTGTGATTTAAATGATTACAGAATACATTAGATAAAATAAATATTTGTCACATATTGAAAGTGAGTGTGGCATGCGTGAAATTATCGCCAAACCTACCTTTTATAACAGTAGAATATTTTATTCTGGTACAATTTGTAATTTTGTATAGGTTAATGTTTAGTTTGGTATAGGTTAATGTTTTTTAGTAAGCATTTACAAAATTAAATTGGTAAAAAACAGCACAGCCGTTCGACCGATTTAATTTGGTAAATGCTTACTAATGAACAATAATTAATTTAGTGTCTGAAACTGTCGATTTACTGGACTGATTAATAGTGTGGTGATTTACCAAAGTATATGTATTACCATTCATTTGAAATACTGAAATTCTATTGGACAAAAGTAATTTCAAACACTAAATTCTGTTTATGTACAATGTTCATGCAATTGTTAAATTACAGAGACATTCTACGTTATAACTTTTTCAAGAAACAACCATAAAGGTTATGAAACAATACTTTATGTTACTGTTTTTTAGTTATGATAAAATATTTTCATCAGATATTCATGTAGATACATTTGTTTGTTAAATAAAGTCTATTTAATTCATAATGAGAGTATTTAGTAAGATTGATGTATAATATATGTTATGTATTCAATATAATCGTATATATATAATCGTAAATCAATACAATAATATAAAACAATGCACAAAACAATTACTGAATTGATATCTTTTCCCTGATATATGATTAGCCTTACAGTAAATATTTTATCTATTGTTGAGAGAAACAAAATAGAAAATAATGTTCAGATATACAGGTTATTATATGAAAAAAATGATAAATAAAAGTCAAAACTAAATATGGGTCAGCTAGGGTCATTATTGGTAGGTATGTCAAATGAGTGACAAGTACAAAATGTTTCGTAGAGTCTAAATTTCAAAGCAGAGTAATTTCAAAAAAGATTCTTGTAAGCTTTTTTTTTTGCTTTATATTGAATATTCATATAAAAATCTTGTGACAGTACCATTTATGACTCTAAGAGCTATAATTTGAACAGAACAACTTTGATAAGCGTCCACTGGCAACTGTTTTATGCTTAATATGTAAGCTCTAGCATTTGCGATTTAACAGAATATTTTTTATGTTTTTACTTTATAAATATAAGGAAAATAACATGACCCTGGCCCTGAGCTTTATATTTAAACAATTTTGGCAGAAGCCTTGTAGTCTTGAGAAGGAGATTTTTCAAGTTTCTTCCTATTAATTCATTTTATTGCCATGACAACCAGATTTCTGCAAGAGAGCCAATTGTTTAAAAAAGTTTGGAAGTCTTTCTAAATGAAATCCGACAGGTTGTTTTTTGTTAAAATTTTGGAGCTATAAAATCATAACAAACACAAACAAATGCATGCACAGACACATCAATCACTATAATTATGCCATTGCATCCTTGCAAATCAGAACATCCCTTGCATTCACACCTTATTGCTGGAGACATCTTTATCATAAACAAGAGCAGTTGATAGGATAGCATGCTTGACTCTTCTCACCGTGCTTGATAGTTTAACAAGAACCTGGATAAAGTAAAACTATCTAAGTTCAAAACTGGCTATAATTCTCGTAAAATCCATGTTAGTGTGGGCCTTGGAAAGTGACCTCCTTTTATGCTCTCAAATAATCGGTGAAATTTCAACCCATTCTGCTTTAACTTAACTAAGAATTTCCAATTCATTAAAAAGGGGTTAAAATAAGCAAATCAGAGATATGAGACTTATTAATTGATACAAACTTGCACCAAAATGCGGTGTAGACACCAACGCCCGTGTGAGTACAATACCTCTCTCTATTCAAACTTAAATCTGACTACAAATAATGCCTGTGGCTAGTAAATACTGACTTGCTTATGCTGGTAAAATAGAGCTAAGCCCGGTAACATATCAGACTAGATTAAGCAAATATGATAAAAGACGACCTAAGAATGCTAGACAAAGTTGGGTGATCATCCATAAATTAGTTCAGTAGAAGAAGTTGTTTAAAGGTTTTTCTACATTTAGCTCTTTTGACCCCTAAAAGGGGCCAATTGAAATGACATGAGCAAATTTAAGTGTGACTGGCACAAGGATGCTACAAATCAAGTTTGAAGTAAATTTGCACAGCAGTTTCAGGGAAGAAGACGAATATTGACACATGACGCAGGAGCATCCCCCTTTGATACTTATAACTCACCCTAAACCTTCGGCTCTGGTAAAAGACAATGATTGCAGAACAATGAATTGGAAAATTATGGTTCTTGTGCACTGCACTTCACCACAATGAGATCTATCCACTTGTGAAGTTTCAAATCAGCATCTGTAATAGTATTTGACTTATGCTCAGGAAATGTTCAAAGTGTAAAAATGAATGAAGGACAGTAACTTTAAAATTAGGGAAGTGAGGGTTATCGTGCTTATGCACTGAACTTCTACTCAGTAAGAACTATCTACCTACAAAGTTTAAGTTGATACCTTTTATAGTTCTCAAGTAATATCTGGACAAAGTTCAAAGTGTAAAAAATGAATAAAAGGGCAGTAACTCCAAAATTTGGGATCAGAGTGTTATGGTTCTCTTTTACTGCACTCAGTAAGATCTATCTACCTACAAGGTTTGAACTTAATATCTCTTGTACATTCTGAGTTATGTCCCAGACAAGAAATCTGCAACGGACCAACCGACCACCAGCTGACTCCAGTATACCCCCGCAAACTTTGTTTGTCGGGGTATAATAACAAAGTTATAGCCACTAATAGCAAAATTTAGACATTTGACCTTGTAGGTCAAGGTCACTTATGAATGAAGGTCAAGGTTAGTCTGGTCTACTTGAAGGTCTTGTCCAAAGGGCTGTTGTAAAAGTTATGATCAAGGTACAAGTTTGCAGACAGCAATGGCAAACCCTATATGACTGTTACAATACCTCTTTTGAAAAAAAAAAAAGAAGTCAAACTAAAAGCTATTTACCCTAAAGAGTTGCATAAAAAGTAAACAAGACATTAACATTCATCAATGATGTTTTATTATTACCTTTTTATACAAATTGTTACTACATTTTGTATATCATTATATTCAATATAAACTATGCAAAGAAAAAAAAACACAAAAAAACTAGACCTATCAATAAATTTATGACTTTGTACATGAGTCTTTCTAAAAACCGTAACAAAACATTAATAAAAATTTAAAGGGCTGTTCAAAAAGTTCTGATAGAGATGATACTTTCCTTTTGGAGCCTTTAAAATTCATATAAATAAACATTTGTCTTTAATTTTTGTACAATTTCCAACTTGGTTTTTCTCCTTAATATTTTAATTTCTACTGTATTTTTTCCTCTGTGCTTAAAAGTGAGATAAAGAACAAGATAATAATTGTGTCCTTCATTATTTGTATCAACTCCATGCAAGCAGTTTTAAGAGCCCATTAACTGTATTATAGAAATACAGAAAATGAAAAACCTGCAAATGTCTAGAATTTTTATTATTATATGATCTTAATATAGCTGCAATCTCATTGGTCCAAACAGTAGTCAACAGAACTTTTTATAAAATCATATTCACTGGGTGTAGTATCATATTCACTGGCTGA